GGTCCTGTTTAGGCAGAGTATGGAAATCGAAAGTTTTATTTGAATCAGAACTAGCAAATGATCTGAGCAGTTCTTTCTGAAGGGCAACAAGGAAGACAAGAACACAGATTTACTAAGTGCTTACTTTACAGACAAGCACTGTGCTAAGACACTGAGGAAAGACAAAAAGTATAAAGGGGCTTATATTTTAACAGGAGAGAGAACATAAACATAGACAGAAGTGAATATAAAGTCGTTTTGGGAGGGAGTGTCCTAATAGTCAGGGGATCAGTAAAGCCTTCATGTAGTCATTGAATTTAGTTTCAGATGGAACCAGGAAATCCAAGCGGTGGAGTTAAGGAGGAAGAGCATTCTAGGCATGAGGGAGCAAAGGGGGAGAGACCGCAGGGAGGTAAAGAGGGAGAGTACACAGAATGTATTCAAGGCATTTGGGAGCAGAGCAGGTGAGCACAGGGGAGGGGAGGAGAGAAAACAGCCCAGGTATGGGGATGCTAATCCCAGTCAAAGACATGGAAATGAGAGGTGAATAATTCTGCATGCAGAACTGGGAATAGGCCAGTAAAGTTGGCCTGCAGAGTTCAAGAAGGGGAGTAATGTGTTGTTGTGGTTCATTCTTTCTCTTAAAGAGAACTGATGACATCACAAGTGTGTTGTCTTGACTTGCTAGTGAACTAGACTTGGGTGAGGCAGAGCCAAGCAAAGTCATCAGCCTAGCTCTCTCCTCCAGAGTCTTTGGAGTCCAGTGGCAAGACAAAAGCCAAGACAACTGGTGATGGCCTAGGACGCAGGGGGTAACCTTGGTCTTTCTAAATTAAGGTCTATCCCCAGTAATGTATAAAAAGATTGGAAAGATGGACCAATCAAACAATGTCTTCTTTCTGGGTCAGGATGTGAAGAAATTTACATATCAAACAGAAGTGCTTATATTTGATTCCAGAGAGCCTACTGTAATTTGTTGAGAAAGGCTGGGGGTGGGGTGCGGATGATCATGGCCATGAGTTTTAGGAAAGTCACTTGGCAGTTGTATGGAGGATAGATTGAACAGGAGAGAAACTTGAGGCAGGGAGACCAGATAGGAAACTAATGAAACAGTTCAGGTGAAAGGAGACAGAGGTCTGAACTGAGGTGATGTCTGTGACGTAGGTAAGCTGGGCAGGAATCATCGCTTTATATATGAGTACAGTGAAGCGCAGAGAAATGACCTGCTCGTGGTCACACAACTGCCAAGTATCACAGTTAGTTCTACCCCTCTTCATTCTAGCCTGTTGTGGAACTTGGGGGTTCCCAGAGATGAGGCAGACTAGTCATCAATGCTAAAAGCAATTTAACTTTATTAATGGAAAATTTTCTCTCTCTCTCTCTCTCACACACACACACACACACACACACAAGAAAAGCAGAAAGTCTAATTTGAGACACCTAAGGGTATCAGGGTGAGGCTAGGTTAAGGGAGTCCAGGGTAAAGGACAGACAGAGCTGAATAACAGTCTTCAGACACAATAGATATAATAACATAATCACAGTCACAAGAGGACACAAAGACAGATAACGGGTCCTTCTGGGACGCAAATAAGATGGTCTTTAGAAAATTAAAATAAATTCAACAGCATTTATTAAGTGAGTATTATATATAAGGTACCTTACTAGGCAATGGGGATATAGAGACAAATATCAAGAGTCATTACATTCTATCATGGGAGGAAGAAAATGATAATGCGTACATACAAATGAAATATACTACGTGTGTGTGTGTATTTTTATACATATATACATATGTATATATGTGTTGTAGTGAAGTATGTTGAGTTTAGAATCAGAGGACCTGAATTCAAATTCTGGCCTGTGCTTCCCATCTGAGTGATCATGGGTAATTCACTTAACCTCTCTGGGCCTCAGTTTTCCTTATCTGTAAAATGAGTATACTGAGATGACCTCTGAAGTCTCTTCCCATTGTAGTGGACCTGTGATTTCACTAGTATAGGGACCTACCTGTCAGGTGAGGAAACTAATCCCTATCAGTGCAGGTCTGCACCTTCTCTACAACTTAGACTTAGAGAGTTGCCTAGGGAACTAAGGGCGGTTATTTGCTCAAGGTCACACAGCCAGTGTGAGAAATAGGACTTCTTCCTGGCTCCAAGCTCCAGCTCTCTATCCACTACTATTCATTCATCCATTAACAAATGCTAGTGTTGGGAGGGGGCAGATGAGAACACTAACCAGTGGGATGATCAGGAAAGGCCTTTTGTAGGAAGAAGCACTTAAGGGGAGGCTTGGAGGAGCTAAGGATTCCAAGACCTGGATTTATGGAGGGAAGAACTTTCCAGATTAGGGAGACTGCCTCTGCAATGGCAGGGAGGCAAGGGATGGAACCCCATGGGCAAGGAACTGCCAGTAGGCCCCTTTGGTTTGAGCTCAGAGTGTGTCAGAAGGAATAATGAACACTTAGTATTGAAAGTAGGCTGAGGTCAGATTGTAAAAGTCTTTAAATGCCAGAAGTTTATCCTACAGGCAATAGGAAGCCACTGAAGATTCTTTTTTCAAAAAAAATAATTTATTTTTAGTTTTCAACATTCACTTCCACAAGATTTTGAGTTCCAAATTTTTTCTGCATCTCATCCCCCCCAACCCACCCCACCCCACCCCACCCCAAGGTCACTGAAGATTCTTGAACAAGGGAGTGATATGGTCATACCAGTGCCAGCAGACCATCTGTTTGGTAGCTGTATCAGAAGATGGATTTGAGAGGAGAGATTCTGGAAGAGGAGACACCAATTAGGATGCTTTTGTAATAGTCCAGCCAAGAGATGATGAAGCTCTGAAGAAAATAGTGGCTGTGTGAGTGGAGAGCAGGGGATATATGCAAGCGATACTAGGAAGTAAAAATTGAAAGGACTCGGCAACTGGATTGATTGGATTGATTGGATTGATATGGGGCTGAGGGAGAATGAATGAGGAAGATTCTCATGTTGGATTGGTAAATGGAAGGATGGCAGTACTCTCAACAGAAAAAAGGGAGCTTAAGAAAAGGGCTGGGATAGGGAGGAAGATAGACATGCTTGTTTTGGGACATACCGGAATTGTAATGCCAATGGCACATTCAGGTGCGAATGATCAGAATTCAGAAGATGATGTAGGACTGTTCTCATAAGAGAGTTATGGTTTGATATATAGAGGAAAGGAGGGAGCCTTTCATCCTACTAGAGCCCACTTCACCTGACACTCAAGTTATATCACACTCTTCAGTCATCTGAGGTCAGTACAAGATCACTTAGGTCCCATCTCACACAACAGACCAGCTCAAAGACCAAACACGAAAGGCAGAGGCTTTATACTAAAGGGTGGGGTTGTTAACAGGTGTGTCTGATTGTTTTTTTGCCTGTGACATCACAAGCACAGAGCTGGCAGGGATTGGCTAGGATGTTGGAAGTTTCCAGGAAGGAAGATCCCAGGAAAAAAAAAGACAGAGTCCACAGGCAAGACAGCTTATCACAACTGGTATCTGAACCCTGGTTTCCTGACTCCTAAGTTAAGCACTCTTTCTGATACATCACATTGTCTCAATTCAATCCATTAAGTTTTATTAAGTCCATACTATGTGCAAGACCCAGTGCTGGAGACACAAAGTACAGATAAATAAATGCAACATTATTTCAAGGAGAGGGAGAGGAATTCACAACTAAAGGAATCATGAAAGGTTTCCCATGAAAAGTGACACCTGAGCTAACAAAATAAAAAATTCTAACAGGCATAGGCCAGGATACCCTGCATTTCAGGCCTAGGGGGAATACAGACAGCTTGTGCAAAGAAAGGTGTGAAGACAAAGGATGAGAACGTCAAGTTTAAACAAGAGCAAATGGGCCCATTTGGCTGGAACACAGCCTACATTAAGGGAAATAGTGTGAACAAGTCTGAAAAGGGTAGCCTGGAAACAGATTGTGAAGGGCTTTCTGGAGCTGTTTACTTTATCCTGGAGGTAATAAGGGCTCCCTGAATATTCTTGAGAATGGAATTAACACGATCAGACCAACGCGTTAGGGAGATTATTTTGGCAGCTACAAAGAGAACGTTTGGAGAGAGGATAAAAATAGAAGCAGATAAATCAATTAATAGAAAATTAAAATAGTCCGAGTGAGAGGTGATGAGAGCTTTTTCCAGGGAGTGACATTATGGTCATACCATTGATAGGAGAATATTAGCTGTAACAGAAGATGGATCTGAGAGGGGGAGATTCTGGAAGTGGGGAGACAATTAGGAGGCCACTGCAAAAGTCCAGGAGTGAAGAGGGGATGGGCATGAGAAGGTGTAGTCTATGAGATGTGAAAAATGACAGTTATGGAGCTGGAAGAAGAAGAAGCAATGGATGACAGATTCTGGTTGTGAACTAAGGGGGTTAAGCCTGAAAAATACCAAGTCTGCAAGAGGGATAGTTTCCTTTTGTCTTGGTATCATCAGCGCAGTCCAGCGCCTGGCACACAGTAGGTGTTTAACTGACTGACCAGTTGACTGGGGGGAGGGGTAGTTAATTAGTTCCACTTAATAATCTATAATCATTTATCTGTAATTTATAATCATTTGATAATCTATAATCTTAATATAAGCTTGGGAAACCCATGGTACGTCCAGTCCAGTCTCCTCATTATACAGATGGGGGCACTGAGGCCCAGGTGGACCAAGTGACTTGTTTAGGGTCACCCGGGGGGGAGGAGAGGGTTTCGAACCCGCAGCCTCGGAGTCTGCACCCGCCGGTCCTCTCCCTGGACCTCGCGGACTCCCCGTGTCCGCCCCACAGCCGGCCCACGAGCTCCCGCCGCCAGAGACTGACCCACCGCCCCGCCGCGCCTATGAAGGACCAGCCGCGCCTTACGTCAGCGTCGCGCGCGCGCGCAGCCCCGCCCCGGCCCCGCGGCGCGCACGCGCCAGCTCCGAACCGAGGCCGCGGGCTCGAAAAGGAGGCGGGACTTCCGATTTCCCCAAAGTTTTTAACCGGTTCGCGCGGGAGCCGGAAGTCGCGCTCTGGAGCGGGGTCCCGGACCGCGGAGTCCGTCGCCGGCTTCCTAACTCTCACCCCCGGCGACGGAAAGGTGAGGCCAGGGCAGCGGCCCCGGTAGGGGCGGGGCGTTTGCCCGCCGGCTCGCCCATCCCGTGACTCTCCTCTCCCCTGTCCGGGGTGCTGAGGTTCCGGGGCGTCGGAGGTCCCGGCGGGGGGTCGGGAGCGGTGCAGCCTCGTTCCTGCCCCGCGCAGCCGCGTTCTCCTCCCCGTTCCTCCCCCTCCCCCGACCCCTGCCGTGGCCGGCTCTAGTGCGTGTGGGGGAGGGGAGGGCCGGAGCGGGCACTGACGGGATCGTCTCGTGGGTGTAGCCCACGCGCGCCCAACCCCCGAACCTTGTGCGGAGATGTTTTGCAGAAGCCCTGAATGCCGAGACTACTTGGGCCCCAAGTGCCCGGTGTGGGAAAATAAACCGCCTCTAAGGTGGTTTAAGGGTCAGCCCAGGCCGACATAGAGGAGGATGTAGAGGGGCCCCGGAGGCCTGGCGAAGTGTGGGCATCAGCACACATTTAGAGCTGGGAGGGACCAGTTACTGAACACTTACTGTGTGCGGGGCGAAGCGCTGGGGGCGAGAGTAATCATAAGAACTAACGTTTATTAAGCGTCAACTATATACCCGGCACTGGGCTAAGCAAAGAGGATAATAATTACAATAATAGCTAACATTATTACATAGAGCAGCTACTGTGTGCTGCGCACTAGGCTAAGGGATGGAAATAACAATGATGGCTAGCATTTATTAATAGCCTATTATGTGCCGGGCACTGGGCTAAGCAAATAGGATAAAAATGATAATAGCTAACATTATTACATAGAGCAGCTACTGTGTACCGG